ACTAAAGCAATTAGTAGGGAATTTATGCGTACACGTGCGCATAATATGAGCGTGTGTTATCAAGAATATTGCTGCTTTACTCAACTTATCCTCCCCACCATGTATTCGCAGCCGGCACATAAAGGTAAGTCTTATCTTTGATTAAACGTTGCTTGTGAGTGCGGTTGCTTCTACCAATTGGTCAGTAACGTTCAGAAAAAGGTAAGAAGGCCACTCGTTGAACGATGTACAACTAAATATATTATTAGACGGAATTTCAATATTCTGTATAATTTCTGAACTGAACATTGAAGACGTTTCAGGAATGTTCAATAAAACAGAAGCATGCTACATATTTTACGTATGTTAGTTTAAATACTTTTTAAGCACTTTTTACATTACTGAATCGGGAAGGAGAAGAAATAGGGAGTTCATGTAATATTATTTTTAATATCTTTTTCGAGCAAACATGGCGTTAACTAATAACAGATATTTTATTTCATTCTGGTGAAAAGGAAAAGTATGTTTACCAATCCTAATACTTCATAGCGGTAAATTTCCATTAGTCATGAATCTTCGCGTAAAAATGTACGATCATTTATGAAATAAAGCAACAAATAACATGTTGCATAGGACAAATTTACATTCGTAAGAAAACATTAGAGTAACAAATGATTAAGCTCTACATCACGTGGCGCAGGTTAATCGAAAGCAGATAAATACATTCGAGTACTAATATGCGGACACGATTATTGAGGCCGAGAAAGCGCGCGAGGCACCCTCCAGAAAGAGCGTTTGTGCTCGGCGCTGAGCTCACACGTGGCGTAAGTCATTTGTTACGCCACACATGGGACAAGAGCTGCGCAGTTCGCGAAGAAAACACTGTGGGAACGCACGGTAGGAAGTCCGAAACTCAACGCCTCCTGCTCGTGAATCTGCTAGGTTCTCACGAGCAACAATGTACCCGTAGTAACACTGTTTTCAAAACACAAAAATAATGTTGACATTAGTTACTTTTATAAAAATTTCAAACATTCAATACACATATATTATCGAGATTTTTGCTCGCTTTAATGAACTTTTTATTTAAAATAATATTTTATTTCAAAAATATATATTGGGATTTAATACAATTTTACTTCATTATTTAATTCATAAAGGTACACAGAATGTATTATATATTTTCAGTAAAAATGTTCACTATCACGCGGCAACATTTAGTGATTATTGAATTCAATACGAAATTAAACATTAGAAATAGGATTTAACACTTTTTTACATTTCTACACAAACTCTTTATTAATGGTGAAAGAAACCCTCTCAATAAACAATGAAGAGCTAAATGACACTCGTTTAAGATCTACTATAGATACGGTCATGGGCGGTAAACAAAAACAGCGCGGGCACATCTGAACAGATGACTAGACGACACAACGACGCTCAACCCAATACAAATTGAACTTCTGGTAAACTCCATTAACTTCGGAACAAGAAACGCAGGACAAAAAAATATTTTCTGAATAATACACCTTTGTCATCGGGAATCGCCGATTTCCGAACACATAGATGAATTGTCTGTTTATGAAAGGTGACTAGACTGCATTCACAGGCTCACGATTTGTTCGGACAAATCCCAAACGAGATTTCGAGGCAATGAAAAAAGAATGCTCTATCAATAGTAGTAACGAGTTTCGTAACAAGGTAGCATACACATGCTGTCAACGTGGACAGGTTTCACAACACGACATTAAAACGTGCTTTCCATACGTACAAACGGCACCAGTCAACACTGCAAACACATGGATCCGTGCGTGATGTCACGATCACAGCTTGCGCGCCGACGAAGCACGTGCGTGTGCGTCGAGGACGCTAGCCGCCTCACTCGCCACGCAGTTTCGCTTTTGCGAATAGCACGAACCTCTCCACTTTCTTACTCACCCACAAAAAGGTTGATCCTACACACAACACCCGCACTTGAACGCAGACACGAACTCTCCGGCGAAGTTAGCAAGGCTCCGACACGTTTCACAAAAAAATGCACCAACACACATCCGCACTCACACACACTTGGAGTACACGAACGCATAGACACACTCGCGTGCAGTCCGCCGCTCGGGCTGCAATAAAACGAACGCGAATTTTTCAACGTAACTGCAGGACGTGGGTGGAACAGCTCAGGCGACGAAGAGTAAAAACCAACCAAACAAAAAAAACGTGTATCAAGCGGAAACGCCCACAGCCGGCGGGATGCGGCGCCCACGCACAGGCAGCGCTGGCAGCTCTGCGTCGGAGAGCGCGCGCGGCCAACGCGAGGAAGGCGTACCTGCCAGTCGCGGAAGTCGGTCGCCGAGAGGCTCCGAAGCGCACCGCCGCTCCTGCACAAGTAGAGCCATAGGTGCACGAACATGCTGGCGGCGGCGGGGGCGGGGCGCGGTGGTGGGAGGGAGGGAGGAAGAGAGAGGTGGCTAGCGGGAAAGAGTGACGCGCTGGCGGCCGCCAGGAAAAGCGCGCGAGTGGGGCGCGCCGCGCCGCGCCGGGGGAATCCTGGGCGACTGGGCGGCGCGTGCCGCGCGGCGCCACAGCGCGGACGGACGTCATCGGCGACGCGTCCGGGGCGCCGCCGCCACCGCCTCCAATGCTGGCGGAATCGACGAACCGCAAGTCCTTAAGGCGGCGATAGCTGCCAGCTTTGTCGGTGTGGTTGTGGTGTTTTTGTCGGTGTGGACATGGACGGGTACGTTTGCCTCTGCCACCGCCTCTTAGTTTCGAACACTGAGCAAAATACTTGTTCGAGGACAAGAAATTCCTGTAAGTTGATTACAGGCAGTTACAGGAAGAATGGTCCAAAGAGGTATTAACGCACACATTTCCTTGGGCCCCGGAATCCCTTTCCCCACTCCTTTACTAAAAATTGAATTACGAATAAATGTTAACGACGAGGGCTATTGACAAAATTAATTACCACAAATGTTCCAAATAATAGAAACTATTTTGCATCGAAAACGAGTTGCATATTTCATATAATGGTCCTGTCGTCGAAAGAACTAACGCCCCCAATCCTACGCACCTAGGAAAATGAGGGCTAAAGAAAATGTATGCGGATTATATTCCGTTTACTGGAGCATCGTGATTATTTGTTACATAACTGTACACTACCCAATCTGGAATCAGTTTAATGCAATATTCCCTTATTACATCAAACACGTTCATTTCAATGGGTGGCGATAAATGGCAGCTGGCAAAAGTGGTAAGACAGAAAAGCTAGCCCAGACCAAAGAAATCAGAAACTAGTACGAGAAAGTCTGTGCCATTCTGTAAACCACTAGTTTTCTCTGCGTGGCACCGTCTCAACTGCAGGCGGTGTCGCCGAAACGCAATCATACACGCGGCGGCTACTGCTGCCCCCTTTAGCGAAACAGTTGTGGTCGTTTTTGTCGGCATGGTCATTGACTACTTTGCAAGTGCCACTGTCTTTTAGTTTCGAAACTCTTGCCGCCCGGCCTGGGCTACTCTTTCCTTCAACTCCGCCGCCGCAGCCGCAGTTGGTTTTCCTGTTGGCGTTGCCGCAGATAGGGGTCTCCCGGGATTTGGCGGATACGCACAGCTATTCTCGGGTCTTGACTATTTGTTTCAGAGCGTTGAACTAAGCGAGTGCTAGAAAGGATAACAATCTGAAAGCACAGAAGGTACGTGAAGAAAGTGCCTTCCTGTCCAAAGTGTAAGGAAAAGTAAATCTGCTTTTATCAGAAAGTGAGTTTAGGCTCCCACACGTTTCAATTTCGCTATCGACAAAATGTGTTTCAATTTTTGTTGTTTGTGTGTCGTCGTTTCAATTTTCGTTTAACAGAATGTAAACTTTGCTATTGTGGAATGGAAGATACTGCAAGAAGCGGCTGCAGAATGGAAATATACTATAACAGCTTCTTAAGATCCTTTGCTTAAGCATTTGAGAAAAATAGATCTTTGAATGAATGATCTCTGAATGAATCAGCATTTGTTCATTACGTCGTCTCCAACATTAATTGGTCTTGGTCGTTTCGTTGGGTAAGTTGTACTCGATCTGTTGAAAGCGTCAACACTTCGTAGCACGAGTAAGCATATACGAAGGGAAGTTAGCGATTTTTTTAAGTTCAAAGATTGAGTGATTTTTAATACTAAGATCACAAAATGTATACAAATGTAAAGGCCAAGTAACTGATACACGTGTTCATTTACTCAAAAATAATATGTGAAGCATTGCGTTTACAAGAATGGAGGGATAGTAGTATTTCCCGTTATCGTCCACTATAGCATAAATGAACATATCTGGGTAAATATACTAATCATTTATAAGTTAATAAATAAGTTAAGTTAATCATTTTCCCACTTTCCTCAATGTTGCGTATACTTTTTCCAGATCAACAGATTTTTTGACAGGTTCTTGACAGTGATGAGTATAGCGGTGGGAGCCGTAGTCCAAAACCGAAGATGTTCGTCAATTTACTTCTGTTAAAACAATAACTAAATATGTTCCCATTACGAATTCACGGTTCTAAAATAGCTGCCGGCTTCTAAAATTAGCTCCGCTCCACGAATTACAATCTGTCCTTCACAATTTTGGAATTGTCTCTGATATCACATTCGAAGCCTTTTGAATATCTGTTATTGTGTCGAAATGATTGCCTTTCATTGCTAATTGCAATTTTGAAAATTAACAGAAGTGGCTTGTAGCCAAGTCAGGGGAATTTCGGGGTGATAAAATGCCACGGTTCTGTTATTGGCCAAGAAACTACCCCCGATCTTGTCTGTTCTGCAGTATTTTTTCTTTGTTTAAAACAAAATACAATGCTCGCGCTTTGCTCCATTGTACCTTTCTCGCCTGAAATTCAGAAAGTACTGTTAATGTTTCTGTTATTAGAGCAAACCAGTAATACATGGTTTGAATTCCTTACATAAGATATTCGAAATAACACTGTAGATAAACCATAAAGCATCAAAGCGAGTACAAATCGCCTCCACTTTCCTTTGGTAGAGATGCTAGGTCAGTTCACCCTTCTGAGGACCCATTGCTAAGACAAAAAATCTAAAAGAAAATTCTCCGACATACGAGAAGCGCGATCGTTCACGTCTGCTCAGGACTAAATCAACGACCTCAAAGGAGGGCACAAAATCAAGCGGCAGACAAACGCTGCCCGGATCACTGAAAAGTGCCCTAAGACATACGCAAAGCTCTGTTTTGACAATCTTTACTTCTGCACAGAATTTTACAAGTTTTAATAAAACAAAATCCACCGAACATATGAACTTACTTTAAGTAAAAATCTCGAACATTTTTAAAGATTAATACAATTGCAACAAATCCTGGTTCAAAAATTTCTACCATTCAAATGTTTAGAGTAGTGACATTGCAAATGTATTAATTTATAGTACTTACATCGAAAAACCTTCAACAAAAAGCTTTCAGAATAAACAATTTGGAGCGACTAAATACAATTCATTACAAAGTTATTATTTATTTTACAAAGAAATTCTTGAGCTTTCTGCAGGCTACTTTATTAGCCAATGGGTGGAGTTAAACGTAAACAAAGCTCCCCCGTTTTGGAGCCACAAGGGCCTCTTCCAAGGGCTGCTTCCCCTCTTGGTATCATTCACCCGCGAGGTTTTCTCTCTCCGCTCGGAGCCTCGCACATTTTCACTCGTAGCCACAAAGCGAGAGTTTTACACGTCCCTGGGGCGGAGCCAGACTTTTCTACCCGTTGCCATCTCTGTCCCGCAAACGACGGGAAGAAAAACGGCTCTTTTCAAAGGGAAATTATACGAAAAGAGCTGCAGCGGAAGAAAGGCGGGGGTGTAGCCCACAGTGGAAGGTTGTTATTGGACTGCTGCTTCTCATTTCCGCGGCCAATATCGGACGGTTTCTTTGAAAAGCTTGCGCGCGAGTTTCAAGCACCGAGGACTCTTGCTGTAGATCAACGGTTACCCATCTTTTCTTTCATTCAGCAAACAATCATCAAAAATTCAATTGTCATGAGAACCACACATATAATTTTGCAGATTTCTCATCTACAATTTACTATCTCTTTTGTATTTAATAACAGACAAAATGTTCATTTGCAATTCTAAAAGTGCCATTCTTCCTTTCCAGATGCGCTCGTCGACAGGTTGGTGTTGTTCGCGTATTTTCTCACGTGGTCTCATACTCATTCGTTTTAGAGCAACCCGCATCGCATGTTAACACCACGGTTCAGGAGATATTTGCAACTTGAGTGAACCATATGGCACGAATGACTCCTCTTGCTTAAACTCCGCAATAACGGCTTGGTAAGTACACGACAAAGCAATCTTAGTGTTTGTTTCAAGGACGCATCGTTTCTTAAGTGCTTGAAATGTTTAATGAATTTGTAACTGCGGTTCATTGTTTAATTCATTGCGGAATATCGATACAAAATTCGCCCGGCGAAGTGCTGACACCGCCTTTGTTGTGACCCGCTGACTCTGCCGCCGAGCTGATCTTATTTTTAGGAAACGTAATTTATTGTAATAAAAAAGGTAAAATATGTAACAAGTATATGTGTGTTTATAATTTCAAAGATACGTACGCAAAAATAGAATATATGTAAAATGAAAAATAGTGTAGTGTTTAAAATTCCTCTATATAAGCATTTTTCAAGCACGAACGTCGCTGATCATATCTTAACTATTCTTTTCTCTTATGGATTGGCGAGACTGAAAGAAAGTTCCTCTTCTACAGAAATAATTGTAAACGAGATTCTTTTGAATAATAAAATACGTTCATAGTGTACACAATGGTGTTAAAGAGTTGCACTCATTCTGAATTAGCAGTGGCACGGCAAAAAGTCGGACAAATTCAAACATTTTTTCTTGTACACTAGATTTTTTGTTGTAAACATGAAAAATTAACAAAGGTTTTTTACCACGTTAATGTATAGGATCATATGAATAAATTGTATTCTCTATATTATCCCCACTGCTTGACGACCGATCCAATCTGGGTCTGAACCCTCCCAGCACGGTGCAAGGCATTCGGTCCATTCGGCGAATGCTGCTTCAATAGCGACTCGAGAGATGCTACGTTCGGGTGTCTCGATTGTGTGGCACTCTTCAACCACGCTCCATACTAATAATCCAAACGGAATTTAAACTGGGCTGTTGGGAGCCAGAATTCCTTCGACAAAACAATGTCGAGATTGTCCGATACCAATTCTGCACAAATGACTCGTATGCGGCGCACCGTCTGCTGGAACAATAGCTTCCAAATAGCACAGTTGTTCCATCACGGCTTCACAAACGTTAATAAGACATTCACATAAACCTCTTGCGTTCACATTTCCCTTTTTTCGGAAGAAATGAGGTGCATAACAACCTTCGGACGAAACAACTCCTAGCACGTGACATTGCCGGAAGTTTGTTCTCGATACCACACAGGACATCCGTCAGGGTGCGGGCAAGCCAGCGCGTCATTTCTTCGATTAATTTTTGCGTTACCGTAAAAATTTTCTCAGTCGGAGAAAAAATCTTGATTCGTACCAGCGCCTTTTCCGTAAGAAGCACAAAAAGAATGCACCGTGTCAACTCTCTTCGTCCCTGGCGGCTTCAGGAAAGCATTCGTCGAACTTTGATGGTGTAAGACTTGTAACGGAGGATCTTCTGACAATCTGCGCATAGTTGTCTCCTATATTCCGAAGGACGCAATTTTTCGGATCGCATTGTCCTGGTCCTCATAAATCAAGTTCCCCTTGACGCGTTGAAGCACTTCTGCGATCCCTGACTACGCGGCTCCTTCGAGGCACTTTTGCTCGCGGTTTGGCAGGAACCTTCCTCTGACTTCTCCGGATCCTGTGTATTTGCAACGACATCATACATGTCGATCTCGGATATCCGAAGAAGTGATAATCTCCGTCGCTGAGCGACCAGCGCGAAACCATTTCAAATTATCGCTGCTCTTCGATTTATTCTTCGCTTTGTCTCAACATTGCGAACTGTTTTAGGTTATGTCTGCTTGTAGATGGATACGATATTCATTTGTAACAATCGCGACATCTTTAGCGTGGCATAAAAAGCGCGGGAGACGTTCAATCTAATTTTGTCCGGATTTTGGACCGCGGGACCCTGTAGAAGTACCCAGTGTTCCGCGATGGTATCCAGGACCTTGAGGGAAGACATGACCCTCCTCCCACAGCCTTACTCAAACATCGCGTACACCAGCAATTGTAAAAATATTTGTTGTTTTGATCGAGTTACGAATGGGGATACTATTAAAACATCAGCCTAAGAACGAGATGAAAATTATTTTGATTTCACATACATCTGCTTCATCCTTGATACGAGTTACCAAAGTTTTCAAGGAATTAGTCGGGGGGGGGGGGTAGAGCGTTTGACAGTGCATGAAGAAGGTTCGAATAGACACAGCCGAGCTTGCTTGCTTTGTAAGTAAAATTAGTTTCAGTAACATATACATGCGAACTCTCCATTCTGACAAATGTGCCGTTTCGAGGGTAAAAATATGATTAAAGATGTAACAAAATAATATGTAGTAAATACGGAAAATGATGTGGAAAAAAGTAATTGGATCAAAAATTTAAAAAAATTGTATAATAAAATGGTTTTAATGGATTCAAAGTGCCTTGTAAATTGTATAAACAATTATTGAATGCAGGTATCTTGTTTCTATAAAAATATGAACTTACTTGGAACTTGGTTCCCTAAAGACATTATTATAGACAAAATGCTGAAAGTACTGTCCATCTGTTTGAATGCATTTCTGACACTTTCAGGTCCCGTTTTGATGTTTGATGAGTTGATGGTTGCAAGGTCATGTTTGACTTAAAAGGAAATCACGGGGCCGATTGTGCCGATTTTCTCCTCAAAGGAGAACCGGAGGTCTTCCTCCAAATAAGGGTTTCCTGCACACTTGATTTTTCAATTATTTCCAAAATAAAAAGTATCAAATGGTCTGGAAGGTCATAAACCATTACTAATTATTTGATCGTCATACGTATCTTACATACTTGCACAGTGCTTAAAAGTTCATGGATAATATAATTATATCGAAAGGAGTACTCAAGATTCTTTGCTCCAAAGAAAATTTCATCACGCTTGCGCAGTTCGATTGCTCTCGGGATACTAGGTTAAGAACGCTGCTTCTCCGATGACAAGCCAGTAGTTAAGATAGAATTCGTGCGAGATATCAGAGACTTTAAGCTCAGCGTAGTGTATAGCAGTAGACAGCAATTTTAACCTTCTGCGCAGGCGCAGATGCTCAAACGTAGAATAAAGTGAACGAGATGTTGATATGCAGTACTCTATGCAACACTGCGCCTGAAGTTAATACCTGTGAACTCATTAAGGCGCGAGCGCGACACACCGGAAAGGGAGGTATTGAGAATGATCAGCAGAGCCGTCTACAAAAACTATCCCTGTTCAGAAAACATCGGGCATTGTAACGAGAGCCACGGTTTGCAATCGTCCAGAAATTTGTTTTGACTGCATTAGTTATTTGTTTAATTGGTTTTGCTTTGCGCTTTCTTACGCGAAATGCGAATGTATTTTTTTGTGTGCAGAGGCTGCCTGGCGAAAAGCAAGGAAGTCGTGAGACATCATCGTCTCTGCCCCTTGTGACACCGGTCGAGTGCGATTCCTTGCGGGAAGTTTGTTTCTGTCCCTACGGGCGCAAGGCTGCGCAGTCCCCGGCCGACGTGGGCTCGTCTCCCTGAGAGCGCTTTGTCACCTTCAGTGAAAGGTTGCATTGCATGCCCTGCACTTGTCTAGATTGGACTAGGCTAGGCTTCCCGCTGAACACCGCTGTTTGTCGTGCCCCTTAGGAGTCCTGCGTCAACAGAAAATGATACAAAAGGTGCAGATTTAGAACCTTGTTATTTATTTTGAACGCATTTCAAAAAATTTAAAATGTAGTAGTTTTCATTGCGAGTATCAACTAGTGGTGCTACAATAGCACTTCTCCTTCGAACACAGTGATTTCATCGAAAAAACTGTAGCTCATTACTATACAGTTTGGCAGCAAAATCCTAAAACAATGTATGATGCATAC